CAGGGGGTCTCACCGTGATGAGGGCTCCTGGAGGGGCGGTCCATTGGACAGCCGCGCATGTGACCTTTGAAAGGCTCGCATTGACATACTTGTTTCCTGTATGTCTTGCGATCGTTGATGATCTCCTGTTTCTTAGCCCTTCGGTCCCAAGCCTCTGGCGTTTTAGTCTTGCCACCCTTGGTACGTATTATCATGCCAGAGCCGTCCCGTTTGGTGCAGTACTCCTTAGAATGCCAGTGGCGGATCACGTCCATCGAGTAGCCGGGGTACCAATTGATGTACCACTCCGGCAAGTACTGAGCGGATACACCTACGGAGTGCTCCGTACTGTACGGGTAGCCAGATGCATCATGTGTAGGGCGTCGTGGAGCTGAACGGCTCCTCCTGCGGGCTGGCCCCGCTGACGCACTGCCACGTTCCATGGGCCTTTCATCTTCATGACGGTGCTCTGGGTCTCGGGGTGGCGATGGTCGTCTGTTCTTCTTGGCATGGCGCCTGTCCTCCGAGTCCTCTGAGCTGTCCTGGACCATGAATACGTGCTGATGCGGGCTTCGAAAGTACCCGATGTCGGTTAGCTGCTCCATCGTGAGGTCGTTGAGGTCCATCTGGTCGCAGCCCTGCATGAATACGTCCATAGACCAAGCGGGTGGCCCCGCTGCTGCGGCTGGCGCCACTTCGGCGGGTGACCCCGCTAGAACCTGGAGTGCTGTCAGCATCTGAGGTGCCGACATGTCCGAATCCAGGTATGGACGCAGCCTTGCGGCCCCTGGGCGCGACAGCAGGTCGTTCATGGTTATCTGCTGATGTGCTGGCGCACTCAGGAGCTGGATCGCTTCTGCGACCTGTTCTTGGAGCATGTCCTTATGGTCCTCTTCGGCCTCTTCAGAGTCAGAATAAGCGGGATGGCCCCGCATTTCGTCATCAGCGTCTCCCGCTTCCGAGCCAGCTCGCGGAAGATCTGGCAGCAACGGCATGCCAATCACCTGCGGTGCCAGCGCGGCGGCGAGCTCCTCCTCGGTCGCCGGGACGGTCTCAGCTTCGGAGATCTCGTCGTCGGCGGGTGGCCCCGCTGGAAGACCGAACCAGGCATTGAACGCGACCTCGTCGACTTCGTCCCAGCCGTGGAACTCGTCGAAGAGGGTCACCGCGTACTCTTCCAGGGCTACGGTCACATCAGCGTAGCGGGCCATCACGTAGTACGTGGAGGAGCCCGCGGCGGGAGCCGCTTCTGGATTGACGTAAAACTCGTAGTCAGTGTAGTCTATGTCATCCATATAAGAGTTTTGAGCCAAATGTACGGATCCCTTTCCTTTCCCTTTCGGGCATTGATCGCGCAAATGCTCTGTACTACCGCATGTATGACACTTCATAGTATTGCCAGAGGCGTCCCTAGGGTTGCCCCCCCGCCCTTTTCCCTTACCAGAGGTCCGCCTGTGACCCCGACCTTTGCCTCCGATAAGAACTTCTTCAAAAACTGTATCAGTTAAGGACGTGAGGAAAGCAGTAATACCCCTACCATGCATACGACGTCTGCGACCCCCTTTGCCACGACCCTTTCCATATCGTTTGAAATGTCGGCGTGCTGCACGTCTCACTTTTCTGACTGGTTTCTTCATAAAGCGCCTCCAACGGCGTTTTGATTTGCGATAAGCCATAAAAGCGGCTTCCGCTCTTTGTTGTTCAGAAAGGTGAGTGTCATCAGCTGGATAGTCATTCCCAGCAGAGACTATTCCATTGTGCTCATCGTCAGATGAGGCATCTGTGTCAGTGCCAGATTCAAACGGAGAGGGTGGCTGAGACCCTTGAGCGGATGACTCCGCTTGGCCCCAGAGGGTTGTGCCCGAGGGCGGGCTTGCAGTGCAGGCGGCGCCTGGCGTGTAGTTCGACCAGGCGTTCGCCTCAGCTGCCTCTGCCGATGCCTGGCCGGTCTGCCCTAAGAAGGCAGTGGCCTCGTTGGGCATATCGGCTGGATCAGCCCAGGGACTTGGCTCGCCAGGACCAGCGGGTGACCCCGCAGTCGTGGCGTAGACACCTGCATGTGAGTGGTGCCCTGTGAAGATACCCGCAATGTTGCCAGGAGAGCGCTCGGCAACATGCCCGTAGTTCCTCATCCTGGTCAGCAGCCTATCATAGTCTGCTTGTGTTCTGGGCATCTGATGATTAAAGGGCTCCAGCAGGTGTTGGGCTCGTGACGCGCCAACGCCTAACGCTCTGAAAAGGATCAGCGTTAGGATCTGAAAGTTGGGGATGACAAAGCCAACAGAGTTAGCCTCGTCACGGGCCATCTCGAATCGAGCTAACACTGAGTCGATTCGCTCGCCCCTTTCGACGCGAAAGTCGATAAGGGCAGTGCCAGAGTTGAGCTGGCGCTCATCTTCCAGATTTTCAAATTTGGTGCTCAATAGGTACAGTATATAAGTAACTGCATCCGTTGGCTGTCCGTTGACAGTTACACCATAGTTGATGATCTGGGAGGGGACCTGCATGGCGATACGACGAGCAAGGCCTTGAAGGCCACGTTGTAGTGCTGCAGCTTGCTGAGGTGGCGTCATATTGCCGCTCGTTACGTTTATCCATGCATGTACTTCGCGAACGTACTCGCGAAAGGGCGTAGTACCGGCTGGGTCCCACGAAGGGCCGGTAGTACGCGTGTCGTCCATTCCCTGCCGCATGTAGCCCACAGCACATCCCATTATCACCCATAGAATGCCGAAGATAGTTATCTTAATCCAATGCATGTGCATCTCGGCTTCGGTGATTGGTTTAGGCTGTGGTTTGTCAGGCTCTGGCGTAGTAGCCGCGAGGCGCCTGACCGGCACGGGATGCAGGTGGCCCCGCTGCGGGTAGCCCCGCAGAGTGACCACGTTCTCGATCGAGTTGCCGATTGGCATCTGGTGGAAGTTGGGAGTGAAGTAGCGCAGTGAAGTAGGAGAGAGTGTCTCGAGCTCGCGGGTCGCCACGCTAGCTCGATCGCGGACTGGCTCCGCTCCCCGCAGAGCCGGCGCAACATGGTATTCCACCGTAGTAGTAGTCCACCATGTTGTGCCGTGGATTGCAGGTATTAGAGCGAGAGCCAGCCACACGAGAGTGTAGCCAGCTCCGCTACCAAGTCGAAAACGCACTGGTAAGCCAAGATATATGTTCCGCCTTAGGCGCTCCCATATCCCAGGCTTTGCCTCATATCGCATGAGCAAGAGAGCAAGACGAAGCATGGGATCTGGAGTAAAGGATAGAAGGGGCATCGTCAATGGAAAAGATATTTTCCGATCTCAGATACAAGTAGTGCGCCTCAATGAGGCACAATCACATATTAGGCCGGGCCCGGCTTGAGCCAGGCACGGCAGCGGTGCATGCTCGATATACATCTCGCCTTTAACCCTCTCCGTTTAAAGTTAGGCAGGCTTCAGACAAACATTGGTGAAGAGAACTGAGTGCGAGTGGCTGCCTAGCTTTTACGGCAACTCCCTGTAACCAAACTTCTCAACCCACTAACGCTTCCTTCCCGGGCTCCTAACACTCGTGGAATGAGACAAGGCGGCCCAACTGAACACCACGAGCGCCAGGGAATGTAGCCAGAGCTGGCCATCGTGACCGCACTTCGACGAACCCACCGTGAACAACATATCGAAGCCAATTGTATCATCCGCGCAAATTGCGGACACAAGCTCACCTGAGGAGCCCACCAAGACAGCCCCAGGACGGACTAACGAAGGGCCTTCTCCATCCCTTTGCCCACAGATGGCCACAATATTCCCCCCAGAGGCCGGCAAGACGCCCCCAAGAGGCCCCAAAGAGGCGTGGGGAGACCTCCAAGAACCTTCCCCCTGGAGGATTTCAAGATGCCCCACACGAGACCCCTACATGCCTCTAAAAAGTCTCTTGTCCACGACCCAGGCACGGTGGTGGGATGTGGCGCAAAACACTTGGTATTCTGGACAATTGCACGGATGGAGGACAGCCCATTTTCAATACTGGGCTCACATCCGGCATTCCTCATATTGACAAGTTGGGGAGCGGCTGCTTTTCAAAATGGGACACTCGCCTGCATGGAGCCCAAGGGGAGCTCCCAGCAGTGATTGGATGACTTCTAGGGACTTGTAAGGAACTCGGGGCGGGAGGGTCTATTCCAGCATCGTTGATGCATCCTGGGTTCACTCTGGTCCTTATCCTCCGCCTCCTCCTCCTCCTCCTCCTCCTCCTCCTCCCCTTGCCCCGCAGACAGAAATCAACAAAGTCGTTCGCACCCGCCTGCTAACTAAACACCCGTTCTTCCTCTTGCCCCTATCTGCCCTCTTTCCTACCCCTTCCTGGCCCTTTTTTGTTCCCTGTCCTGCTCCCTCCCTTCCGATTTTACCTTAACATGCTCACCCGATTGTGCCAGCCTGAAAGCCGTCACTGTCGACAACGACCTGGGAGAACGCGGGTCGAGGCGGGGGGGGCTCCGCGGAATTGAGCGAGGAGGGGTGATGAGAGAAAGGGGCGAGGATGAGGAATGGGGGCAGGGGCGGAGGATCAGGGTGACTCTGGTGGGAGGACGGAGGATGAGATGAACGGGTGGATGCACCCTAATCCCTGCCAATCTCCTCCTCTCCGCTCCGCTCCCCGCCCCCTGTCCTGTACGGGGAGGGCGAAGAGGCCTCCCATCGGATGGGGGGGAGGAGGGCGGCTCGCGGGGGGGTTCCGAGAGGGGAAGTGGCGCCGAGGGAGGCCTCCCCCAGAGGTCCGGGCCGACGAGTGCCTCCAGACGATGGTCGACCAGCGGGCCCGATGGGGCGAGGCCGAGGCGGGGCGGCCGCATCGCAAGGGTGTCCACGACGAGGGGCTGCGGCCCGAGAGGGATCGCCCGCGAGGCCCTGTCCTGTCCTGTACGGGGAGGATGAGGATCAGGCGAAACGACTGGGCGGGAAAAGGGTCGTGATGATGGAGAGGCGATGAGCAAAGGCAGGACCAGGATGCGGTTGTTGAGAATAAGACGGGGGAGGAGGGGGAGCCCCTGCTTCTGCGGCCGACCGTGGCGTCCACGAGGACGATGGCGACGGTCAAGCTGCCGTACAACTCCTTTGTCTCCTCCTCCTCCCCATCTTCCTCCTCCGCAGCGGTCCACCACCTCGGAATGTTCAGACAGACGCGCCCCGCCGTCCCCCACACCACACGCGCAAAATCACACACACACACACAGAAAAAAAGCAAGCAGGCAAGCATACTCTGCGCACGAAGTCTGTTCGAACGGGTGCATTAGCAAGAAGGCTAAGCACACCCGCGCCAGCAAACAAGCTGCGTTGCTTCTGGCGCCCGACCTTGGGAGAATTTCCCATGGGACGGGGATTGCTGGTCACCGAACAAGCGCCCCAGCGGCGCGGCGCCCGCCCTGCGCCGTCATCCCTCCCCTTTTCCAGGCACACAAACACACAGACACACACACACACACGCGCACACACACACACACACACACACACACACACGCATGCACGCACGCACGTACGCACGCACACACACACATACACACACACACACACGCACACGCGCACACGCTCACACACACACACACACACACACACACACACACACACACGCACTCACGCGCACACACACAAACACACACACACACACGCGCACACGCAAACACACACACACGCACTCCTACAAACACACACACACAAACACACACACACAAACACACACACACACACACACGCACACACACACGCACACACACACACGCACACCCGCGCGCGCGCACGCACGCACGCACGCACGCACGCACACGCGCGCACACACACACACGCACACACACACGCACACACACACACACGCACATACACACACGCGCACACACACACCACCGACCATCGACCACACACCACACACCTCACACCACACATCCCACACCCCACACCCCACACCACACGGCACACAACACACAGCACACAACACACAGCACACACACACAACGCGCAACACACAACACACAACACACACACACACCACACACCACACACCACACAACACACAACACACAGCACAAAAACACAACACACAACACACAAAAAACACAACACACAACACACGGCACCCAACACACAACGAACAACCCACAACACTCAACAGTCAACACACAACACACACACAACACACGCACGCCCATATCCACGCACACCTACGCCCGCGCCCACGCCCACACGCACAAACACACCAACACGGACGCATTCACAGACACCGTCACAAACACACACACAAACACAGACACACAACCTGACGCACAAACGCATCCACAACCACAACCACAACCAAATCCACAACCAACACAAACCACCACAACCACAAACGCGGACGCACGCACAAACACAAACACTAACCAAAACACAACTACACACAAACACACTCACAACCATAACCGCGAAGACAAACAAAGACAAACGCGCATTCAAATTCAAACACGCACGCAAACACGCGAACGCAAACGCAACCACAATCCCAAACCCAACCACGACCACAACAACAAAAACACGCGTCACGATTCACACAAAAAGACAAACCAAACACATGCACAAACTATCACGCGACCAGATGTACCGTCACAATCACAACCACTAGCACAGCGACAAACATGTTGTTTTCGTCGGTGGCGAGGCAGGATGGGCGCACCAGCGATCGTTCTAAACGGGGGCGCCGAGAAGCGAACTGGACAGCTTGCAGGGAGGGGGCAAGACGGACAGGGCGGCCGCAGAGAAGGGGGGGAGAGGGGGCGCGCAGATGCGGAATACATCCGGCCCGAGCGCGCTGGCGCGGCCGGCCCGCTCTGCAGCGGGGGCCGCGGCAGCAGCGCCGGGGCGCCCGCGGGCGATGGCGGGGCTCAGCGCGTGAAGACAAATGCCGCAATGACGCCGTCGGCGATGTAGGACTACGCGCCTGCGCGCCAGGAAGAGCGCCGCGCGGCCGCCCAGACGGATGGCTGGATTGATGCGGCGCGGCAAGTCTACGAGCAATCTAAGTTCCAGACGGCCACCGGCAAATAGCTGGGCCGTGGGCGCGGGCGGCAAGACCAGACCCGGGAGCACTGCCGCGCGGGGGCCGCGCCTTGAGGGCGCGCCCCAGCCGCGCCCGGGGAACGAGGGCCACGTCGCGGAATCGAGCGGGCGCGCGGCCCAGAGCGCCCAGGACGGGGAAGGGCGAGGCAAGCGAGGCTGCAGGGTGGGAGCTCCACCGCGTCTCGCGTCGGCCGGCAGCGCCGCCCTGCGCGGCGGCCGCCGCGTCGCCTGCGCCGCGCCAAACCTGCTCAGCAGCCCCGCGGCGGGGGCCCCGCGCTGGCTCGCGCTCCAGATTCGCGGCGCCTGCCCGCGGCGCCGCCCCCTGCGCTGCCGGGCCGCGGGCAGCGGTGGCGCGCCCGCGGCGGCCCGCGGCCGATTCCTCCCGAGCGGCGGCGCGCCGCCCGCCGGCGCCTCGGCGCTGGCAAAGGGCGCCGCGCAAGCTCGCTTTGGAGCCCGCAGCTGGGCGCTCTGTGGGCGCGGTCCTGCCCGTTCACCTCGGCCTCCAGCCAGAGGCGGGCCTCGGCGCCCAGTCCTCCTCGACCTGGGGGGCCGCCCGCGCGGGCCCGCTTGCCGCGGCAAGCGCGACCGCTGCGACCCCCTCCAGGACCTGGGAGGAATAATAATTGAGGAAGGCCCCAGCCCCCGGCCCCGCCATTCCGCGCAGTTCCGCTTGCTGTGGCAGGTGCATCCGATGCGGGATCTTAGCTTGCTCTGCCTTTTGCTGCGCCTTCTCCACTGTCGAACTTCGCTTCGAGGAGGTGGCCAGGGCGTCCGCCTGCGTTCCGCCTGCAGCCAACTGGGGCCCTTGTTGCTCGAGGCCGCTCCGTGCGGCCCCCAGCTGGTTCGTCGCGTCCTTGGGCAAGTCCAGGCAGTCCGCCTCGCGCTGCTGCCGGGGTCCCGCGCGACCTCGGCCGACGCGCTCGTCTTGCAAGAGGCCTAGAAGGCCGCGCAGCGCCGCGTCGTCGCCAGCCGCGCGCCCGGCCCGCCGAACCTCGTAGGCAGCCCCATCAATTCTTTCGCGTTCTCGTCGAAGTCGCGCTGCAGCAGCGCCTCCCAGCAGTTCGCCAGGAGGCCGTCGCGGGCGGCGGCGGCGGCATTCGAGGCATGCTCCAGCCCGAGCGCGCGCTGGCTCGCGGCCCCCGCGTAGGTGCTTAGCAAGGCCCCCGCGGTTTGCTTCGTCAGCCCCGCCTTCTGCAGGCGCTGCAGGGTGCCCCAAAGATTGCGCGGGCGGTCTGCGGCCCATTTCAGGCCGTCGGCCAGCGCGCCGAAGGCTGATGAGCCGTCCTCCGCGTCGCCGCGCGGCAGCAGGTGCGCGCCGAGCACTGGGCGGGAGGGGGGCCGCGCAGTGGCGATGCAGGGCGGCGGCGGCGCGGCGATCGCAGCAGGGGGCCAAGCCGTCGTCTTCGCCACGTTTCGGCGCAGTCCCCAAGGCGCGAGGGCTCTCTCCAGCGCGGCCAGCGCTGCCAACCTCGACGACGAGGGAAGCATCGTCGGGGTAGGAGTGTCGCCGGGCGGCGGGGTCTGAGCGTTGCAGCTCGGCGCAGTAAGTCGGCCAGCGCGGCGCTCTGCGCCGCCGAGAAGTCGGCTGCGGAGAACGGGCAACCTTGGTCGAAGCCTCGGTTGCTGGGGGCCTTCCGCAAGGCCACTCCGGCGTCGCGCGAGAGGTGGGGGACCTTGCCCTTATGTTGCGCGGCGAAGGCCGCGCCGCCGCCGACTCTTCTCGGCCGTCGCGCGAGATGGCTGGCTCCCTCTCCAGCATCTGAAGGCGGCTTTCGAAACCAGCTTTAAGAAGACCGCCGCGCGCCTCTTCTGAGTTTGCGCCTCGGGGCTCCTGAGCAGCAGATCGGCCCCCTGATTCCTGCCGACGCCGTGCTGCTGCCGCTGCCCAGCCGCCGCGGCGAGCTGGCCCTTCCGCCAGCGGGCCCAGCCCGAGGCGCCGCAGGGCTGAGCTGACGACAGGCAGTCGGACCTCGTCGTAGCGGTCAGCTTGACCACCCGCAACGCCTGGAGTGCCCCTGGCGGGAGGAGGCCAAAACCAGATCGAGGGTGTCTTTGCGCGCGCGCTGGCCAGGTGCTCAAGCCTGGCGCCGAAAAATTCGGGTGCTGCAAGCCGCTCTGGTCGTAGGAGCGGGCGGAACTTGGTCTGCGTCGCCTGGGGCAGGTCCTCGTCAGGGGGCGGCGGCCCCGCTGCCGCCGCCGCGTGCCTGGCTGCCCCAGCGGCCGCCGGCGGCAAACATGCCTCGACCTTCCGGAGCGGTTCTTCGGTGCGGGGGGCGAGCCGCGCGCTCGTGGCTACTGTGAACGCCCGGCCCTCATCGCCTACAGCAGCGGGTGCGTGCGGGGGGCCTGGCGGCCAGCGCACGCGAAGAAACCCAAAACGCCGCCCACTGTCCGCCCCAGAACAAGGCGAGCCGCTCCTCGAGCAGCTCGGCGCACGTGGCGGCCTCGCTGGTCCTAGCCAGAAGCAACATGCCCATCAGCAAAGCATTCCTCTCGGCCTCTGCCCCTGCCTTCTGCCGAACTGCTTTTAAGACTTCCAGTGCCTTATGAATTCGCCTCCACTACAGCCCCCCGACTACGATCCGGGACTTGGACGAAAGCTGTTGCTCCTATGTTTTATTATAACGTCGCCCCAAGTAAGTACACCCCACCACTCTGGGTCAGGAAGTTTGAAATCCTCCCACGCCGGGTGTAGCGGCGACTCTGGCCTGACCTCCGGCCCGGGGGCAGCCGCGGCCTGCGCAGCCGCGCCAACTGCCGCGGGTTGGACGCCACCTCCTGCAAGGCGCTCCTCCTCTTGCTCCTCCTACCTCCTCGTCATCGCCCTTGCCGCCTCGATGTCTTCCGTAAGGGTGTTGCCGACGGGCTGGAACTCGACGCCGGCAACCAGTCTCCCCTGGAGGCAAAATGTTCATGTCCAACGTGAGCGTGCCCTCGCGCCCCATGGTCTAAGCCGAAGCTCGCCGGTGCCGAAGACCAATTCGCACTGCCTGCAGCTCGTGGGTAGGTTGGTCAGCGGTTCGACGCTCATTGCCTAGGCACCTGATCGTAGTTGCGAGTGCCGTGAGCCCCCATCATCTCCGAGCGAATCGACTTACCCCTGCCAGAGCATCTCATGCCGCCAGGAGGCTGGGGGGGAGCAAAGCTGCTCGCCCCTGGGTTGCGCCCGCTCGCGCGCACGCGCTAGCCGACAAACAGCCAGACAAATAGACAGACAGACACACAGACACACGACACACGAGACAGGACACACAACACACAACGCCCACGCACGCACACACGAACACACACGAACATACAACACACAACACACAACGCACAGCACACACACACACACACACACAACACACAACACACACACACACACACGCGCGCACGCACGCACGCACGCACACAGACACACGTAGACACACACAGACATATGTACACACACGAACACACAACACACAACACTTAACACGGAACACGCAACACACACGCACACACAGACACACACACACACAAAAAAAACACGCACACACACAACACACACACACACCACACACACACACGAGGATCCCGAGAGAAGGAGGCAAACATCAGCAGAAGAGCAAAATCTGTGAGGTAGGAGATCAGGCGCAATACCATGGAACCTGGTGCCGCTTCTGCGACAAAAGGCTCGGCAATGCGATCGCAACGCACACCAAAGGAACCATAATCAAATCCAATAATCACCCTCGCCTCAAACAAATAAACTTGTTTTCGTAAACACCTTCCGAGGAACTTGCCGGAGAAGCGTGGCTCCTGGAGGCAAGAATGCCGACGGGATACCATAGGCCGCTGGCAACAAGTTCCATTGGCCGTCGCACCTTCGCTAAAATACTAAATTTCCTCTCGACCATCGCGTACGAAAGTCGAGCCGGTGTACGGAAATTTCCGCCATGTGGATCCGGCCTGCGATGCAGGGCAGGTTCTGGCCCGCTTCCGTATCCATGGAACCTTTACCAAACACTCCCTTTGAAGCGTAAACTGCCTTTCACCGTTGCGCTTCCTTCATTGTTGTCGTCGAGACACTGTTCATGACTTCCCTGGAGATGGGCCACTGTTTCCAAGGCGCCATGTTACACCCGAGCTCTGTTCGCAGCCGCTCCTGAGGCTACTGGTGGCGTTGGCTTATGCACGTGCTTGATGGCTCTTCATCCTTGCACATCTACCTTGGAGGCGTTCCTGCGCGTTCCATTGGAGCCGTACCTGCGCTCTCCACGGTGGTAACCTCTTCTGTGAACAGCTCGTGCGCCAGAATCGCGATCGGCGTGTTCCATCTCAGGGCAGAGAACCCTGAGGGCACATGGAGTGATGAACGATGGTGCCGCCAGTGAGCCAACATTCTGGCAACCCTGAGGCCGCACGCGCTGCTCGTACACGTTCTGGCTTGGTGATGTTGAAGAACCCAGGCCTGCATGGCCGATGTGCGTTCGACGTGAAGGTCTCCACGTGAGTCGGCGCGTCAAAAAGCCTTCAGAGAAGCGGAGAACTGGTGGGGGAACTAGCACCAATGCTGACCGTCGAACGAAGACCCGCAAACCGTCTTTTGGTAGTTGTGGTGAAGTGCGGGGTGCACACTGAAAACTGCTGCTGATTCTCACAAGCTTTTTGATGTAACCAATGTCTGGCTGACGCACCGCTTGCAACAAACAAAAAACTCAAACTAGCGAAACACGGCGCAAATGGCTAGAAACAAACACAACTACACAACTGGCAAAACAAGGGCGGCAACTCCCGCTCCTGAGCGCCTCGAACAAATTCTTTATGAGGACCCGCGAGCAGTTGCAACGAGGAAAACGATGATGCGAGAATTTCCGCGTTGGTCCTGTACGAAACGCGCGGTGCTCCTGCAGGAGAATCGCCCTACGCGGCGTGACTGGTGGACAAAATACTGCGGCATTCAATCCGCTGGCAACCATGAGAGAATGGCTAATAGCTATGCACCGCTTTCCTCCTCCTCGTCCTCCGTCCTCCTTATCCTCCGTCCTCCTCATCCTCCGTCCTCCTCCTCCTCCTCCTCCTTCGCCTCCGTTGTCCTCCCTCGTTCCCCCCTCGTCGAACGTCAACCTGCTCATGACGTGCCGCTCCTCCAACCCCGACACCGCCAACTCTGCCTGCAGGATCGCGGTCACCACCTGCGGGAGGAGGGGGGACGGATCGCGAGGAGGAGGAACAGGATTGCGATGGGGAGGAGGAGGAAGAGGAGGAGGAGGAGGAGGAGGAGGAGGAGAGGAGGAGGAGGAGGAGGACAGGGAGGAGGAGAAGGAGGAGGAGGAGGAGGAGAAGAACACGAGGAGGAGGACAGGGAGGAGGAGGAGGAGGAGGAGGAGGAAGAGGAGGAGGACTCCAGGAGGACGAGGAGGAGAGGGAAGAGGAGGATGACCACTCCACCACCAGTACGACCACCGCGACCACCACCAGCGCGACCACGACGACCACGACGACCACCTCCAGCACGACCACAGCGACCACCCCGACGTCCGCCGCCGCCCCCCGTCCCCCTCTCCCCTCCCCCATCCCTGCCCTTCCCCTGCCGGGCCGCCCCTGCTGCTACGCTTTTTGCGCGACTGTCCCTTCCTCCTTCCTCCTCCTCCTGCTGCTGCCTTCCTCTCCCCTTTCTCCCGGTTGTATGAACTCGTGCGCAGGCTGGTCTCCAAAGGAGGGCCAGCCATTGTGTACAGGTGCAGGACTTTGGGGACCATTGCTCAGGGCAGCCCCCTGAGAGCTGGCGGGGGCGCCAGACCCGCGGCCAGCGAGGGAGGAGGGATGAGGATGAGGAGGAGGAGGAGGAGGCGGAGGCGGAGGAGGAGGAGGAGGAGGAGGAGGACGAGGAGGAGGAGTGGGAGGAGGAGGAGGAGGAGGAGGAGGAGGAGGAGGAGGAAGAGGAGGGGGAGGAGGAGGAGGGGGATTTTTTTTTTTTTTCGGGACCACGCAGCAGCCCAAGTACACCCCCTGGGATGGCGAGGCCCAGGGGGGAAGCCACCGACCACTGAGGACGGAGGCTCGAGACCCGCGAGGGGTGGGTGTGCCTGGGCGCTCCGCGAGACCAGGCAACAGAGACCCACCCCTGGGTGGCCCCTCACAGGCCCGTAGGACCCAAGGGGCCCTACTACACCTGGACGGGGGCCGACGGCGCGCCAGGCAGTGGCGCCGCTGCCGCGGGGAAAAGGGCCCACGTGTCAACCCGTACCGACCAATTAGGCGGGGGAGACACGGGCCACGTGCCCCCGCCTGCACAAGAGGGCACATAGCAGAGGGCAGGTGTCGGCGGGGGGCGACCCCCGCCGAACACCGAAAGAAGTGAAACCAGCGAAGCACGGCCAACACGAAACGCGCACGCACACGCACACAACCACGAACCCAAGAGAACGCGGAGCGCGCCTTCCCCCAACAATGGGGTGCCTGGCATGCGTGCACGGAACGGTGAATGCTGGTCACAAAGAACGAGGCCCGTCCAAGTGCAGATGCGCCTGAACAGGACCTCGCCCCAGAAAAGAACAAAGGAAACCTGGCAGGCCCCCACAAAGGGCGGGCCTCCACCCCTGGTGCAGCCAGCGCCAGGACGACTGGAGGCACACACGAGATGTGAGGCGGCCAGCTGGCCAAGGCCAGAAACAAGCGAGCCGCTGCAGCTGCTTGTAGAATGAATTGGCAGGGAAGATTTGACGTGTAGAGTCCACCGTGGTGGACGAGCAAGCCAGCCAAGCTGGCAGAAAGTCCTGACAAATTTCGACAAGCTTCCAGCGCAACAAGGGGACGAGAGAAAGAGTGGTCGCCGTGGGCGACGACCGCAAACAGTGCCTGAGGCGCCCACAGTGCAGCCGTCACCACAGGGCCAAGCCCCGTGGCCGCGCACCGCAGGCAAGGGCCGTGCAACTGCAACGCAAGAAGACTGCGTCGCACGACCCCTGCGGCACGAACGAGGTGAGTAATCAGCCACACTACAGAGAAACTTAGACTGGCTCCCGCAAAAGGACGGCGGGCCCCAGCCCCTGGTGCAGTCCAGCGCCAGGACGACTGGGGCACCACCCCAGATGTGGGACACATCTAGAAAAGGCAGACCGTGTCAGTATCAACAGTGACCCCAGGCCGCTTAGGGTGGAGCCCGCGTTGCAATTTGACCCACGGATTATTGTGCGCCTTGATATCCTCAGGCTGGCAGACTTTGGCCAGGTTAGCTAACCTGCCTCCCGAGGTCATGTAATTGCACTTCTGACACACACACAAGAAAGAGCCATCAGAGCAATCCATTACAGCGCAGCGGTGGCCAAGGGACCTGAGGACTGCAGGCTGCACTCTCAAAACCACAGTGCAAGAGCCCCCCTCTGGCCTGACTAGGTGAGACCCCCGCTTACCTCGGAGACATTCGGAGCACTGCCAAAACTTGCCAGCCCAGCCCCAGACGTGGAGCTTGGAATCCTTCTTGGCCGACGGGCCCTTGACAGCAGGCACACGGTCCGCGTTGGGACCCAACTCCAGCTTCGGCCAGGAGGGTAAAACTTTGGCAGCAAGTCGGGCCACCGCCTTAGCCGCCGCGATACTCCGATCAAGACCCTCAGACTCCAACGGGGAGGGCCTAGGATGCAAGGACAAGGCGGCCTTGGCGGCCTCATCGGCCCAGGCGTTTCCCTGGCGGAGGTACCTGTCCCAGGGATCGTCAGCGGCCTCGATGTCAAGATGAGCCTTGACCTTGACAACGGTGATTTTCGGCCAATGCTCACGCACGAATTGGGCGATCCCAGAAAACATCCTTTTGGCAGAACACTGTTCCGCCCAAGGGAGGCCCGCAAATTCCACCACGTTAAGACAGTCCGAAAATAAAGTACTAGGACCTGTGGTCCACTGCGCCGAAATGGAGAACGCAAAAAACTCGGCCGCCTGGGGCGTTTGCGGGCACGGGGCCCACACAGGCCCAAAGACGCGAACCACCTGCTTCAAAGAATACCTACAAACCAGGGTGAAGGCCCAGGCAGCTCGGTTTAACTCGCGAACAACACCCCGAGAACACGACCCATCAACAAAGATGTCCCCTTCGAAGGCGTACGACTCCAGGTCCTCGGGCCCACCATCCAGCCATTGAACCTCAACACCTCCAGAACTCATAGCACCAGGAAATGAATCCCCAGGGTGCGGAAAGATCCCGTAGCACGCCAAGAGATCGTCCGCCTCCGAGGCCCATTCCTGCACTTTGGTCGAGACGCACTCGTCCCGAATGTCGGACACACTCGGGCACTGCCACAACCGATGCCTTAGTGTGTCGACTGCACCACCGCACAGAGGGCAGCTCGTCGACGGCAGAATATAACCTAAGCTGGCGGCACGGTCCCGAGTATAAATGGCCTGGCAGGTGAGGGCGCGCATGCAGCCCTTCTCAAACAAAGAGTACCTGGAGGAGTTCAGGTAGGCAAAGGCCCCATCAACGCAGGCCCGACCCTCCAAGTTGAACCTGGCTCCCAAGTCCCACTCGAGGGTCCTACGGACGGCAGCTCTGAGAAGGCTTTTGACCAACCTGGGGGAGAACTCAGTGAGGACCACCTTAAGCCCCGAGTCCGTAATCAACGTAGCGAAACTGGGCATACTCCAAGAGATCCTCTCGAGGGACTTCCTGAGGGCACTGACAGGACCCCCAACACTCCTCCACAGAGGGCTTTCCCGAGAGAAAACCGAGGTCCAAGCCTCGTTCAGCTCGGGGAGCGACAGGGCGTGACGGTAGAGACCCATGTGGGAAGTCCAAAGCTCTTTCGACCACCTCACAATGGGGGACACAGCAGAGTACCACGTCGGGTCTTGATGGGCTAAGAGCAAGGTGGTGAGGCTTCGGCCCTTGGCCGAAGGCTGCAGCACCGAGCCAGCAAGCTTCCTAATCTGCCACAGCTCGTAATCTGACACCCCGTAGACCTCGGAGCCGTACAGGGTGGAGCTGAGAGCCCCCGAGGCCCACACAGCCTTAGCAGCCCTGGCACCCACGGTGGGACGGATACGCGCCAACCTCTTGGTGAACGCCCGCGCCTTGGTCTCCCTGAATTTTTGCTTGCTGGAGCGTCCCTTGAGGCGCCTCGGGCGGCCGACAGCATCGTCCACACCCAGATTGGCAGAGGCCGCGACCACCGGTCCAGCAAGCCCGCCGAGTCTCCGACCGAGCTGCAGGGCCAACTTGCGCGAGGAACAGATCAGCGATCGCTTCCCTTCCTCCCGATTGACTATGGCCCCGACTCCCTCCTCAAACACACTGATGAGGCGCTCGGCACTCGGCGGCAAGCTCAGCAAAATGTGCTCGGCCGTGCCTGTGCACGACAAACCTGAGTCGTCGATGTACAGCTTGAAATGAACCTGCGACGGCAACGAGACCTGATCAAGCGCCTGGATCGAATAAACTCTGATCAGCGTCGTCGCAAAAGGGCAACCAGCCACGATCCCCTTGCGGGCCCAGTAAGGCCCGTCCACGAAGCCCGAGAGCCCGAAGAAACGAGGCTGGAGATACATGCTCACCGCAAGGCGAGCCAACCCCATAGGGAACCCAACTTGCCGACACCTGAACAACAGTTTATTCAGATCGATGGTCTCGTAGTACTTATACAAGTCCAGCAGCACAGTGGCGGCCTCGCCCCCTGCGCTAGTGGAAGCCTCAGACCTAACCGACTGCCTCCAAACCACGTCCAAGGCCCCTTCGAAGGGCCCAGCGGCAAAAAACTCCCGCGCGTTTTGAAACTCCCAAACCTGGGCCAGGGGCCTCCTAACTTTCCCGTACACTCGGTACAGGGCACAGAAGTTCCCAATCGGGCGGAAACCAGCCGTGGCCTTAGGGATGAGGGACAAGCAAATCACCGAGATTTGAGACGGGACGAGAGCGGACATTTCCATGAGATAAAACATCGACACGAGCGCAGAGAGCGTAGTGTCGCTCATCATGTGGAAATGGCGTATATGAAAACCGTCGACAGACACGCTAGTGTTATCCCGAAACTTCCTGGAAAACTCACGGACAGCCTCGATGGGAACAGGGGGCAGACCGTCGCAGATCTCACCCAGCTCGAACCAAGGATTCTCTCGCTGACAACCCCACAACTTACTGAACTTACGCGACTCCGCCTTCAGGAGGGACAAAGGGTCGGCCACCACCACCCCCTCCAAAGAG